TCATGTGATACTAGAGGAGAAAACTCTGGCTTCAAGCTGACATGAGTGCACTTTCCTCAACCTGTGTACTAAAGTCTGATACCTCTTCCTGTCCTGTCTGTCTGTGTCATGGCATCATGGGACTTGACAAGAGCAAGTGCTTCTGATCAACAAGTAGACGGTGGCATTAATGGCAGAGAGCCAACTTTAAAAGGAAAATTTGAAAATGTCCTGGTAAAAGAACACGTGGTTCATCAGATGAGAGCAGCTCTCTGCTTGCCATGGATTTTTTTTTTTTTTTTTTTTTTGGTGGCAAAAATCATGTAATTTCTGTTCTGTCAGTTTTTAGTTTGATTGGAATAGATTCCTGATTTATTAGTAAAGCTGAACAATGAATTCAGACTTATACATGCTGAGCTTCCTGATCTTGATAGGGTTTGCCATACGCTCCATAATCCAGGTGTGAAAGAGCACAGCTCTTTATTTAACAGCTCTCTAACAGCATTTTCCGAAGATGTATACAAAATATTTCTAGTGAGAAGAAAGAAAATAACTTTCAGAAATTGACAGTATCCATGAATTAAGAGTAATAGGAAATAACCCAACACAGATTGACCCAGCATTGTTAATACTTCTAGTCTGATCTTCTTTTTTATTATTTTGAGAAGAGATGGCATGAAAAGGGGACAGTGCATTCAAGACATGGTCATATATGACTGGGCAAACTCAGTGGTGCTCCAGAGTTGAAGGTTATTTGTTTGACTTCAGAAGTGGCTACTTTGGGGTTGGACTCTGTGAGAATAGAGTTGGTCTCCTGTATCTACTGACTACTTGGTACTCTACTGTTGGTTTATTTCTACTAGGAAACAGACTCTGGCAATATTCTATTTTCTTTTTCTCCTAGATCAAACAAGGCAGCAGCCACGAATATGTCAATAAACATTAAATAGAGAAATTTTCTTTTCATCTTGACTTAGGAGAGAGACAGAACTATCTATCAAAAGTCCTTTGAGGGCTTGGGATTTGATGCCCCATTGGTGCAAATTGCTGTTTATCCACCCGTCCCGGTATTGGTGAAGACATTTGGCAGTAGCACTGCTGAATTCATTGGAGCCGTGACTAACTTAGTTTGACTGAGATCCGCCCCAGGAGACTCTCTTGGTCAGAATTGTCCTCCAGGCTGTAGCTCTTAACTCCCTAAAAGACTTGAACAAATAGTTTCATTTCCTTTGCCTCAAACAAATAATTTCATTTCCTTTACCTCTATTTCCATAAATTTAAATAGATTCTGGTAGTATTCACCACAGTCTCACAATTTGTCAGGCATAGTTGAACCTGCTGGAGAATATAGTTTTAAACAGCTATATAGATATGTGATGGAAACACAAAGCTGGGGTGAGACTTCTGGTGAATAAGGGCTATTGAAAAAAAAACCAAAAAACAAAAAACAAAACCAAGACAGTAGTCCAGATAAAAAACAGCGTCAGAAACTGTGCTCCCAGTTGAGAGCAATCAGTTTCATCTCTCCCTGCTTGACACAATTTCTCTGCCAAGTATCTGAGCTTGGAAATTCAAAGAAAGTTTGCAAAGTAAATCATGTCTTTCACAGGTAAGAATAGGATCTTTCTTCAATAAAATTTAAAAATTTTTTCAAGTTATGTAAAGTGTTATGTAACATCTGTTTCATTTCTGTTGTATTACCCATATATTTTTTTTTTACAGAAATGCATTTTAGATTAATATTTAATGCTCTCGCTTTTAAGAAACTATCTTTGAATCATTTCAGTCTGCTGCTGACTTCAGGTTCCTGGGAGAGGAGGAGCTGCATGAGCTTAATACTAGTGTGCTGTCAGCTACCACAACTGAAAAGGGAAGGTGCAGCTCAGGAATACAGTCTGAATGTGTCAGAACCACACATTTCCCCTTAGAAATGAGCAGAAAATAGCAAAGCCTATCACCTGAGAGCATCCATAAACTGCTGAGGAGCGTGAGATGCCACTTGGTTGTGTCAAAGAGGGAGAGGGGGGAAAAAAACATAGACACAGTTCCTCTGAAAGGAGGCAGAGCCATTTGAGTCTTTGTATGAACTGCAGTACGCAGAATGATTTTTGCTACAAAGTAATATTTTTTTCTCATTCTTAATATTTTTTTTTAGTAGTGAAGCAATTAAAATATTCATTCAACATATTGTGCTTTGAAAATATAATTCACAAAGATCAGCAGGCATGTTTTCATTCTGTCTTTCCTGATATTACTCATCACACCAGGCAACTCATTTATTTTTTAACTGTATTCTTTCTTCTATCAGATCTTGTTTCTTTTCAGAGGTTGAAGTGTGAAACTCAGTGGTTGATTCACCTTTTGTAAAACTGATGCATAAATTTTTGTTCCTAGTCTATTTAGTAAATGTCATCTGTTTTGTACGTAGGTGGCTCTTGGTGTAGAATGGCTGGTTTTGAAAATCTGGTTAGCAGAGGAAGCAAACGTATTTCCGTATGAAGGTTAAATGGTGATAGATTGTAAAACCAAGCAAACAAACAAACCTCACCCCTCACCTCTCCCAGATGAACTTGGTAAATTTTTCCTGGCTTGGAAATGAGCTAATTGATTCATTGCAAGTTGTCCTGTTCACATGGGAAAGTTATGACCAGTGAGATAAATTACAACACCTTTTCTCTTTGACCTGTTTATCTGGTTTCATCTGAAAGATGTCATGGTTTCTCTGAGCTGCAGAAGCATAGATTCTCAAAAAGATGAATAAACTTTTCTGCCTGAAATTGATATATTTTACCAATGTCCGTTCGTATCTCTGCACTCTCCACATAGTGCTGGTCACTGTAGTCTTTGAGGTGATCTGCCTGTTGCTCAGGAAGTTGGACATGACTTACTCATATAGTACCTATTTAAGGGAAAATATAAACACTAGCATTTTGGCATTTAGGACAAGGCTGTGTTGTAACTGTATAGGCATTAAAACATTTTAACACTGTAACATCTTGGTATATATGCTTTTTGACTACACAAGTGCTTTATTTGTTGGTCTTCCTGTTATTAAAAAAACAAGTATGTGCCAGATAAACTGGTAGAAGAAAGAGAGATAACTTCTGTTTCAGCAGTGAGTAATTTCATATAGCTCAATTTTTGAACCCCAAGAGCTGAATTGTTTTCCAGTCCTTATTTGCAGTGAATCATAGAACCATTTAGGTTGGAAATGACCTCTAAGGTCATCGAGTCCAACCATTAACTTCAAAGCCCATCATTAAGTGACACATCTACATTACTTTTAAATACCTTTGGGGATGGTGACTCTACCACTTCCCTGGGCTACCTGTTCTAGTGCTTGACAACTCTTTTGGTGAAGAATTTTTTCATAATATCCAACCTGAACCTCCCCTGACATAACTTAAGACCATTTTCTCTTGTCCTACCCCATTCTACTTGGAGAAGAGACCGACCCCCATCTGACTACAGTCTCCTTTCAGGTAGTTGTAGAGAGCAGTAAGGTCCCCTGTGAGCCTCATTTTCTCCAGGCTAAACAACCCAAGTTCCCTCAGCTTGTCATCAGGGGACTTGTGCTCCCGACCCTTTGCTGCTCGGTTGCTCTTCTCTGGACTCACTCCAGCACCTCAATGTCTTTCTTGGAGTGAGTGGCCCAGAACTTTACACAGGATTCAAGGTATGGCCTCACCAGTGCTGAGTACAGGGAGACAACCACTGCCCAAGTCCTGCTGGCCACACTATTGTTGATACAGGCCAGGATGCCATTGACCTTCTTTGACACTGAGTACACTGCTGGCTCATGTTCAGCCAGCTTTTGACAGTTCCTTTTCCAACTGACATTTTTCTAGCTGCTCTTCCACAAGCCTGTAGCGTTGCATGGGGTTGTTGTGACTGTAACACGTGACACAGCACTTTGCCTTGTGTAAGATCCATGAAATGCCGTACGTCGGTATGACTCCCCTCTGCAGGACCACAGAACACATGCCCATGCAAGAACAGCTTCACAAATATTTTAAAACTTTTTTGTCTTAAAAGTAAAATGGACGGCTGAAGTGCCTGGCTGGCTTTGGGCCTCAGCCAACTATACATATGGGGAAAATTTTTGACAGAGATGTCTGTATAACTTGCTTGAAGCTAAAATGTTGTACTCCTTGGATGTTAGTTTTGAATCAGTGTGGCTTCTTAAAATTAGATTCAAGACTGGTTACTGTTTGAGGAACAAATAGTGCCAGAGAGTAAAAAGATGTATTTGTTGGGAACAGATTTTATAATAAATTGTACTTGGTATTCTTACCGTCTTGATCATTTGCTGAAATACTTTTGTGCTTTTTCTGTAATGATATTTTATATAAGATATATAAGATATCGCTTTAGAAATTTCTTTTGTAGGCCACCTTGTGTATGCATAAGGCTTCTGTTCCTACATCACTGAAGGGTCTCCCTCAATCTTAGTAGAACAAGCTTGCCACAATGTATTTGTCATCCTCGTCTGTTAGTGCAGACTTCCTCCTTTGGTTTTCATCTTTGCTCATCCCAATTCAGTTGATATAACATCTTTACTGAGAGTAGTTGCTCACATTCCCAGGGATTAAATGTAAAGGCAGGACTACTAAAAACTTTATGACATTAGGTGCTTTCTTTTGTTTGCTATAGTCTAGTAATTTTTCCTCTAGCTTGTGATGTGTTACACTCTTAAAGGAGATGATGTTTCTCCTGCACAGGAGAAACCCTTGCCAAGACAAACCTTGATGAACCATGAGAAACCTTCATGAGGCAACACTCTTGGCTGACTTTGACTGCTTTTACAGAGGTTCTGGTTTGTCAGTTTGTACAGTTATGTTGGCACTGAAAAAAATAATACAAGGAATCAGAGCAGTGTAATGTAGCAGGGTCGCAGTGCTACCAGCACACCTTTGCTGGCCCACAGCCTGCATAAACCACAGCTTAATTTCATTGGATAGAATTTATTAATACCACTGTTCATTCCCTGACTTAATGATTATCACTTTGTCCTGTTTCAGATAAGAAGACAAGGCGGAATACAATTACTGGTGGACCTATTGGACCATCGGATGACAGAAGTCCACCGTAGTGCCTGTGGAGCTTTGAGAAACTTGGTATATGGGAAGGCAAATGATGACAACAAAATTGCTCTGAAAAACTGTGGTGGTATCCCAGCATTAGTACGGTTACTCCGCAAGACTACAGATTTGGAAATCAGAGAACTGGTCACAGGTTTGAATCTTTCAGTATTTTTGTTCAAACTGTATATCGGTCTTGCAAGCACAGTTCTGTGCTGCATGCCACTTACTCCATCAGTAACTGCTTTATTACCACATTATTTCCCATAACAAAAAAATTTCAAGCTTTTTGGATATATGTAATGTATGAATAGCTTTGAATATCACACAATTTACAGATGTAGGCATGGCTTAAGCCTATGATTTCTGGTTCACTTCATTCTTGGTTTGCCATGAATGTTCTTGCAGATGTGCTCCATATGTTCTGGTGGGAATCCTCTCCATCCTGTCTGGTGTAGGGCTGCTCATGCAGAAGTTATATTTTACTGAATTTACTTACAAGCTGTTACTCATTCCTTTTATATTCTATGTAGTGAGGAGGATTGGTTTGGGGGTTTTCTACCTTTCTTGAGGTTCTGATAGGAAAATGGAATACTATGGTGGAGAGGTGGATGACATCATCATCTGAAGCTTTTTTTTCTGAAATTTGGTACCATGCTATGTAATATGCTATACACAGAGCATGCAGGTAGTGAAAGTTTATTTCTTTTCTTGATAAAGTAGAATCTGGTCTTTTTAAGATTGTTTGGACTTTTTCTCTTATGAAATTCAAAGGAGAGGGGAGTGGGAGTGGTGTTCAGAAATACAGGAATGCTGTCAAAGAGGGCAGATCTGAAATGTTTGGAGGTTTTTTTCCCCTTGTCCCTAAGATATCCTATTTAGTATGCACAACAGAAGCTAAATGGTGGGATTTTCTATTTTTCGCTTTGTGACTTAATTCTTAAAAATATTTTAATCATCCTATTTTCGGTGCCTATATTTTCATTATGATTTTCCTACTAAAATATGTAAGAAAATTTCTTATTTCTCTCACAGAATTATCAGAGTACATGTTATCTATGCTTCTGTACTTACCTTTTCTTCAGGCCTCATTTAGGATACAATTGATAGGATTATCATCCTTTGGTTGGCTCCAGGTTCCTTCCTTGAGGGTGTCTGAATAAACTGCATGGTGTTTATTAAATATAGATTTTTATGTTTTATTTTGTGTCTTAGTTGCAACACTTATCACCTCCTACTTGTTAGTCAGGATTAATAGGGCAGAGATACTGGGTTGCATGAGCTCAGATAATGCCTCCTGTAGAGTGACAGAATTACTGACAAATCTAATAAAGTGTAACCACTACTTCAGATTCAACGTCCTTTTTTGTCTCTTGGTTATGTTGTTGGTGTCCTGGCTCCAGGGAACATTTTACCTATTTACTCTGAGTAGTAAGAGGCAAACTGCTGATAAACATCAGCAGTACACCTCATCAGTCACAGTGGCACTTCCCACACCATCTGTAAATGGAACACATAATGTCACTAGGTCATTTTAAGAAAATATATGGGGCTATGATTTACATTGATTCCATTGCACAGTGTGTTGTTAAATTTTCCTCAATTCCCATAGAAAGAAAGAATGTGTGGGCTAGAAGTGTTACTGCCAAGAGGAGTAGGTCCTTACCTTCAATGGTAGGCAGTAACCTGCCTTTATACAGGTAGATGCAGCTCCCCACGATGATGAGCATCAGCAGTGGGGGACATGTATGAAAGGGGAGAAGAGTGAGATGGTGACCCTGAGGCCTGGAATCAAAGTCAGTGGTATTTCTGGTTTTATATTGGGGTTTTTTGTTTGTTTTTAATAGCCAGTATATCCCAGAAGGCCACTGCTTGCCCTGGCCCTGTTTTGTACCTTTCAGAATGTAAATCACTTGTCCTTGCTTTCAAAATGCAAACCTGGTTGTGGTAGTGTTCTACAAAATATCCTTTCAAAGTAAGGCTCATGGTTGCAACTCTCATCTTGCATCTCTTAGGAAACAGGCTGAAGTCATGCATCTGAATCAGTTCTCCTTTGCTTTTTTTTTTTGTAAAATCTTGTAGTGTGACAGCTACCCCAGCTCAATTCCTGCCTTCTCTCCTTTCTGGGGAAGGAAAGCTAGCTCCTGCAGCAGGTTCCTCAGTAATGGAAAGATTTGATTTGGGGACAGGCACAAGGAAAAATAAAAGAAGTTCCTCATGCTTTCCATCAGCCTTCCTGAGCTGAGGTGGCAGGAAGGTGATTATTTCAGTTGGGTCACTGTAGCCTGAAAGAGATACAGAGAAAGTAATAGCTGTTGTCTGGTTTGGGAGTAAACATAATACCTTGAGCCTTTCTCTCTCATGTTCATTGTGCATCCTGTCTATATAAAACCTGCACTTATTTGTTACTATTAGAGAGGACACAAAGTTCCTGCCTTAGGAATTCATACGTGCTCTGATGTTGCTACCACTAAATACTCCTTCAGCATTTGTCCTCAGAGCACTTCTCTTAGGTGGGGAAGTGTCATTATCTCGGTTTTACAGGTGGGGAACTGGGCCTATCAAGTGTAAATGACCTGTCCAGAAATGTGGCAAGGTGAAGGTGTGAATCACTCTGAATAGGCACTCAGCTGCAAGGGAAGAAATATGGGCAGGAGAAGTTTTTCAGCAGCTCAATTTGTCTGGTAGCAGTGAATATTCATTGCCTGCCCCAAGTACCACGCAGCTCTCACCCGACAGAGCCAAAGTTCTGATATAAGTTCCTTCCTCAAACGTGCACATTTTCTTCCTTTTTTTTTTGCTTCTCCCTAAGGAGATTATAACTTATATTTCCAGCAATCTCAAGACTGGCTTTGGAAGGGTATTTAAACCTGCAGACTAGCTTTCTATCTCAGTAGCTTCTTGATTGTCAAGGTTGCCTTTGGCACCATTTGTGGCTTTTCCTCTTTTCCAGATACTTCTTTCTGGCATAATCTCTCCAAAACAGTTTTGGAGTTTTTCACTTTTTCCTTTATCTTGTCTTTCTCCTCCTCACTAGCACAGGTCTTGGGCTGATACTTGAAAACCTTACCATGCTCCAGTTTTTGGATTGCACAAATTTAACCGCATAGCAAAGTATTAGAGCTTCAAGGCTCTCTCATGTCGAGCAAATGGTTTCAGTGCAGGTTCCCGTGTAAAAGCCATGAGGGAACTGTGCTGCCTGGCTGTTAAAAAGTTAGATGGTGTTAATGCCCAGGAAATGCTTCCTAAGATATGGAAAGAGTTTTCTTACAGAAATAATTCCACAGTCACAGGTTTTTACTAGAAGAATGTGGATAAACTGAGGTATACAAAAGAATAGATACATTTTTGTGAAATTGAACTACTCTGATAGAAATAGAGATGTCAGCATGGCTACAGCCTCTGGTAATTTCCAGAGACTCAAGGAGAACCAGAATTACAATACCTTGTTGACTGTAGGTCAGTCTGTAAATGAAAATAAATAGATGTAAGCTGGATGTGCCATACTTAACTTAGCCATCTTTTCACCCCAGCTCTCTGCTACTAGTTCCCACAGTAGCTCATGTTAATAGGAAAAAATAAAAGCCTTCGATTTTAAAATAATTAAATGTTAACACTTTTCTAATAAATGTAAATAGACAAGAACACAGTATAAAATTAGCACAGATCCTGCAGATGGTAGAAAGAAATGTTTTAACTTGGCAATAATGAAAATGAGTAACTGATTTCTGATTCTCTTGCCTTTCCCGAGTTAATTATGAACCCTTCCATGAAATTCTATTTTAGCATTCTTTCTATTTGTTATGCTGTCAAGGGAAAAAAATTACATGAAAACTGTGACATATTAGCAAGGATAACACAAGAATCCCATGAATGCCTTGTGGAGAAGGTGAGGTCAAGCAGCTGTTGCTAGATCCTTTCCAATCAGAGCATTCTATGATTCTGTGATTCAACCAATCCTTGCTCCCTGTTCCATCAGCTCCATTGGATAACTGGGTATCTATCTCAGATAAAATTATTTAAACTGCTATGCTTCTCATTGTTTACAAACAAAATCCATCTCAACTAGAAAAACAGTTTCTCCCTATGAACAATAAGCTAGCTGAATAGAAAAAAAATCCATTTAAAGAGTACCCTTATGACTGTTTCACCTGTTTTCAAACTGTGCATATCATTTTTGATTGAAAAGTAAAATTGGATAATTCATTTTTAGAAAGCATATAATGATAAAGAGCTATAGCTATAAATAATGTCAGGAGAAATTATTTTTTCCTATGCTAGCAGCCAGCCTCCTGCTTATTTTGGTTGACAGTAAGGTGTCAGAGATTTAACTATTGTCTACTGAGAATGTATAAATTTAAAAAATTATCACATTTACAAAAAATGGAAAAAAGCATAAACTATCTAATATACTATATATTGTATATATATCTATATACTATTTGCAGATGGGTACATATTGACTCTATGTATTTCATTCACATTTTTGTTCACTGGAATAAAAAGCATATATTCCATGCTTGCAAAATACTATGTTTTGTACAAAATGTTTCTCTCAAAAAAGCACTAGTTGTCCAAATAGCTTTGACCCACAGTCAGATTAGACAAAAAAAAATTTCATTTACTTCCCAGGTTTTGGATTCCAGTATACATTAGTGTTGTTGTTAATTTCATCTGTGGCTTGGTTATTCCTCTGTTGTCACCCCATGTGATGCAACATTATTATGTAGTCGTTTTACATTTCTGTTCCAGTTTTAGTAGTTGCCATATGTTTATAATAAGGAATTTATAACCTTATTGATAGTCTTTCCATGTTATTCGAAGCAATTACATGTTGTCCACCTTATAACTATCTGGTTTAAGTTAACTGCTGCAGGTGAAACCTCCTTTTTGATTACATACTGCTTATTAGTATGTGCATAAATTATTGGCAGATTAGTCAAGAAACTCCAGAAGGGTCCCTTTGAGCCTTGTATGTGTCTTTGCTAATCTATGTAGTTGCAAGTTAGTGAGCCTGCAGTGATATGTAAAGCACGTTTAAGGGAGTATTCTATTTAAATGGACTTTTTGGTTTACTTCAGTGGAAGGTTTAATTTTATTTCATTTTCTTAGGTAATTCTGGCCACTTCTGTAGAATTTTTAACTTCCTAGTAC